GAGAAAATGTAAAAAAAAAAAATCAGATTTCCATATATATTTTTCCCCCGCCGAAAGCCGCGTAGTCAGTTATTTTATTTGTTATCATCATATTTTAGTAAAAAAACATATGCATTTACTGTTGTAAACTTGTAAACTGATACATAATTGATCTTTGTTGATCTCGAAGCCAAACATGAACAGCCTCCCTTGACAATTGTCCTTGTTGTAAGTTGTCGAATTTTTATTGTTACAAGGGGTTATATCGTCACAAATGGCGGTCTTTTGAGCACAGAATATGTTCATAAAGTTTGCCAGAGGCATTCTGCATTTAAAAAGAATGCATCTGGCTTCTTTTTTTTTATTCCCTCCTCCAACCCTGGACTTTGGGCTGAAAAATCTGTAATCCTAAAAATGAAATAAGCCTGGCCTAACCAGTCCCATCTCTGACCTGCCTGCACCATGAATCACATGGGTCAGTAAGCATCATCTATCATACCTCGTACATTGCTCACCATGCCTCATTCATTACATGTCACAACACATTTGACATACCACTGTCGTCATCAGGGCCTGGATCATTAACCCTATGTCATTAGCTTCCTCTTTGCTAAATGAATAGTGCTAAATAGGCAATTTCCTTTATTGATGTTTGATTGTGATGAGATTTAGATTGTTTGGCTTTACTGAAGCCAGGGATTTCCGACAGTTACGATTGGAAAGAGAAATTGCATTTGAAAAAAAAGAGAGTCAAATACGAGAAATTAGATTATCCAGTATAATGTTTTAATCTGTGGAAGGATAAAATTGAATCTTTGTTTAATTGTGCAGCTAATTTTGATTAATGATGTTTGTGATTTTAAGCCTTTTTTGCAAATCAATAACTTTTCTTGAAAATGTGTCTCCCATTCAACATCTGCGTTGTTCATATTTGTTCTTAAGTTCACATTTTCAGCATTTTAAGGATACTGTGTTCGATTCCTTGATGATTCATGATCTGACTGACGTGATACGCTGATCATGGTCCAAGTCCCAAATTTCACTCAATCATCACCTTGATCTGTCAGCGCCATACCTGTGCTTTCAAGAGAGTGGATGAACACTGTGTCACGATGCGCTTACCTTCCACATTAAGCTGACATGGTGTGGTTTTACTGAAATACGTTTTAAAGCAGTTTTCTCACACACACGTTCCTACTCTCGCTCTCACTCCATCACTCTGACTCTCAAGCTCATCCCCACACCAACACTCGGGTGGTGTAGTAGCCCAGTGGTTCTTGGTTCATTGACTGTCATCGTTACCCATCCACGTGGGTTGTTGCTCATAATGTCAATCACAGGCTGCCATCATTTAGCTGGAATATTGCTGAGTGCAGCTTTAAACATCAAACACACAATTAAAAGGCCCCAAGACTATTCCTTGATTCAGAAGATATGACATGAAGAATCAAGAAGGGATATGTAATATTGATATGATGTGACTCCAGGCTTTGCTTGCTTTGCTATACAGTCCCTCTCACATTGCCCATAAAACATTTACATTCTTTAATCAGCCCTTCCTCTACAACATGTCAGTATGATATGTAATTAATTAACTTTCCTTACTGCTCCTCAGAAATACGTACAACCTTGGCCCCTGTGCAAATCCTGAGGGTTAATGAATTTCACTTCACTGTAAACAGGCCAGGGGGAATATTTGAAAGCTCAGTGTTATGCATACTCTGTCATACCAGGAGCTAGACTACTGATAGTGTGAACCAACCCTGACCAGACTACAATGAAATTAGTACCATCAGAGTGAAGGGATATCATACGTGATGAATTACCAAATTATGGGCCAAAGTCGGTGGAGGTGTAAAATGGTCTGTGGTTTTCTCTCTATTTCCAGATGTAATATTAGCAAGCTACTTTATCATTCCAGCCAGATTTTCCAACACAACTGCCTGGCTTTGAATTCTGTTTCATCAACAATTTGTATGATTCAACTGGTGCCTGTCGAGCTTCAGACTGCTGTGCAGGCTAACCGTTGAGAATAATGACATTTCTCTTGAAACAGATGAGGACAGAAAAAACGCTGAAGCAATTTTTTTAACTGACGTGTAGATTTACTCTTACTCAGCCACAAATTATTCCTAGTTTAAAGTTTTTGACTGTATAGTTAAATGAAAAACTGTGTAATGTTTCTAACTTTTTATGTTTGTTTGTTGTTTAACGCCGCACTCAGCAATATTCCAGCTATATGACAGCGGTCTGTAAGTAATCTGGACCAGACAATCTAGTGATTGACAACATGAGCATCGATCCGGGCCATTGGGATCGATGACATGCATCAACCAAGTCAGCGAGTCTGACCACCCAATACCGTTGGTCGCCTCTTATAAATAGTCGCGTTTTACGGCAAGCATGGGTTGCTAAGGAACTATTCTACCCCGGATCTTCTAACTTTTTAACTTTTAAGATTTTGAATCTCAATTTTGCTTTTTTTTTTAAAATTTCCAAACATATTTAATTTCAAATGAGCTCGTGTTTGGATATATAGTTTTTGATTAACATATCCTCTAGATTCAGTATTCAGTTGTTGATTTATTTGTTTTCTAGATTTTGTTTGATCTCATTTAGGCCCAGGGTCCCATTCCACAAAGGTCTTAGTGCTAAGATGATTGTACTCCTATACTTCAACATAGGTTTGCAATAGTCGATAACAGATCGATTTGTGGAAAAGGACCCTGGTGAGTAATTTCTACTGTTGGGGTTGGGTTACCAGGGTTGGACTGTACCATACACTGGTCTGGACATTGCAATTTTCTGTGCAGAGTTGCATCCCTAGGATGAGCCAGGATCTGCTTGTCATTAGTTCATTTCCCAAGATTGCCACGACAATGATTCTTAGTTAATGAGCACCATACGCATGCTTGTGGGTTTCACTAAAGTGGTGAACGTCTACGACTTGGATCACTTTGGGTGTTCCTCCCACATAAAGCTGAATTACTTTTCAAAATGGCATTAAATCCAACTTATTGATGAATAATAAATCACTTAGTGTGATTTCTCTGCAGTTCAGCTATAACAGACGCTTAGCAGTCTATCACCCATGGAGACATTGAAAAACAAGTCAAAGGGTTTCGTATAAGCTGTGCAAATGTAACAGTTTTGTCGTCTGTAATGTGAGAAGACAAGGATGATTGTTATCATCCATATTTCTTGTCACGTCTGCTTTTCCTCAAGTCTATTGTGTGATCCTACTTGCAGCTCTTTCCATAAGATTCATGATGCCACCTTCTGCGATGCAGTTCCCGCATTAATATAGGATTTAATTAGGAGATAAAATATGTTTTCTGCGGGGTTTATTGAGTAATCGATGCCTGTGAATTTCATTGGGAACTGATGGCGTCAGCACAGACAAATCTAAAAAGACATAATGTTTTTTGACATTGTAATTTCTACACTCCGACAAAAGAAACATGAGTACCATACATGTTGGTAAGTATAATATGAAGAATTACTCATATTCATGAGATATTAGATTGGTTTGATGCACAGACGAAAATAGTGGTATTTTGTGCAAACCGACGCTCATGTACACATCACTTGTGACGTCATAGATGCATGACTCGTGAAGCACCATTTGTCTCATGCAGGGTTAGCGTGTAAAGTTTTGGAAATCATGTGCAGCATATCGTGATAAGAAAAATGACACTCTGTGGTAACACTTGACTGATTGTTAGTTTTGTCATTAACATGTACACATTGAGAACATACTTCATTATATGTTTCTATGGATGTTTCTTTTGGCAGTCAGTGTATAAAAGATATCAGTCATTTTCTGAAGCATGCACTGTCTATGTGAACTATCACAGCTGGGAGAGACGTGACTCTTGAATGATATGACGTTACTCTTCAATACGATCATGTCATGAGACAATGAATGACATTACTGGCTCCCATTATAACTGAACCCATCTGGTTTGCAGCATATTGAGAGTAAAACTAAATATAAAGTTGTTCTGAAAAATATTGATCACACTCAATATTCAATTTCTGTAGTATAGCCACTTTGCCAAGCCGAATGAAACAGTTTTCAAATGCAGTGAAAAGTCAGGAACTTTTTAAGGACCCAATCTCATTTGATTTAACAACAATTTTTAACCAATCAGATTGCAGCTCTCATTCACACTGCTCTTCATTTTTGAAATGTGTGTTCTAACAGACATCAGTGGAATAGTAGTTCATCAGTATCAGTCTCCTCACTGTGATTGATGGATTGGGGGGTTTGTTTTTTATTCTATTTGATGAAGCTGGTAAATTGAAGTCTGATGAATGCTTCTTACTTAATGTGCTGATCAAGAAATATGTGAATTCTGTTAATCGCTGTAGCAGAAGCAGGGTTCGTTTCCCTACATGGGTACAATATTGAATCCCATTTCTGGTATCTCCTGTTCGTGATATTGATGGAATAGTGCTAAAACCTTTGTAAAGCTCTCTTTTAGTACCTGTGCCAACAGCAACCCATTCAGTGTTATGATTTTATTGTCTCCCCATAAATGCTGGTTTGGCTTGGTTCCTGTTAGTATCAACATCTCAGTCCCATCCAATTCCCAGCCATAACTTAAAAACCACTCAGTGTTTTTAGGTGAATTCTTCATAAGCTTAATTGATGCCTTTTGCTTTTTTTAAATTTTTCTAAATTTTATTTTCTTATGTTTCCATTGAAACAATTTGACTTTCTCTCAAACGAGGGTAAGGTTGGTTTCCAGGCCATCACTTGATAAATATTTAACATCTGTCAATGAAACTTGGCATATGCATTGCTCATCAGCTTAACTGGTGCCTTTTGCTATTTTGAATCTTTTCTAAATTGTATTTTCTTGTGTTTCCATTGAAACAATTTTGATTTAGTCCCACTCAAACAAGGGTAGGGTTTGTTTCTGTGTCATAACTTGAAAACCTTTCAACAGTTTTCACCAAAACTTGCCATATGCATTGCCCATCAGCTTAACACACAGTGATGTTGTATGTTGCAGTTGACTGCAGCCAGTACCAAGGGTTGGAGAGACCTGCAGTCACTATGGGGTGAGCCCAAGACCACCCTCGCCACTGCAGACACCAGCCCAGGGGAGAAGACGTCACTCCTAGGAGCAAAGGGGTATGGCAGCAATGCGTATGTATCATAGCTGTGGCGCTTGACAGAGGACCAATTGCTAGTTGTAAAGTTAGAAAGGGATACAGATGTTAAGCTACTCCCATGTTTCATCATTTTTTGAAAATTCACATCATGCCTTTCAGAGCTCACCTTAAGCATAAGTGTCCATTTAGACCTTATTTTTCATTTCTTGGTTTACAGATAGATTTTTGGTAATAGAAATATAATTAAAATTGGAAATCAGTATGTTTTTTAAGCAGTCATGTATAGTTTAGTGGGTAGGGTAAACTAATTCAAATGCATGACCTATTAAAGCAAATTCTTCCAGCTCCAGTGTGCAACAATTGTTACACACATATCCTCTTTTATACCATTTATCAGGAATCAAATATTGCTCTATGCTTACAACTCTTTCATAAAAATTCTTTTTATGAAATATGGTTGCATACTTGGCAGTAATATACAATGACTCATGATTTTATTTTTGTTCCACATTTGTTAAATTTTGCAAGAGCCATAAACCAAGTAATATTAGTGAAACTCTGGATAGCAACTGACGCTAATTTCTATCTCTGGTTTTAGTTTGAATAAAATGCTAAAAAGACCATTACAGAAGCATATAATGGTACTTTACTGTGAGATTTGTTTCAGGACATGTTGTTCTGTTAATATCTAGACTACAATCATGAAACATTTTCATTTTCCATAATTCAAATAGGCCACCAGAGCAGCACTTGCAAGGAATGTGATATCAGTAAGCAAGTGAAGCATTCGTAATATATCAGAGCACCTGTAGCTTCAAATAAATTGCTATATATTTTAACTATCAAAAATATTGTGACAATGTTTGTGATGGTAGGACCTGGCCAGTGTTAAAAATACAAAAAATTGCCAGGCTGCCATCACGACCCACTGACTTTGGAAGCTGCAGGCCCTGACTAAACTCTTCAGGCCACTGCAGCTTATCATGACAAATAAATTTAAAAGTAAATTTTCTGAACGTCATAAGGACCCATACAAATTTGAAATCTAGCAAGTACCAATAGGTTGAAATAAGTGACATTCATATTTCATGCCAGATCGAGCTGTGATTCGATTCGAGTGTGCAATCTTGAATAAGGACCAAGATGGTTGGTGTCCTTCCTTGTCTATATGTATATAGAGGGGTGGGTTTTTTTTCTATACGCATATATCATGCTATACACGCTATCATCGAGTTCCTGTGATTAATCAGCATTCATTCACTCTTTCACCATGGGGATACTAGGTTAGATTATGTCCCCGGCCTGTCGTACAAGGCGACTAAGTGGATCAGGTGGTCAGGCGCGGTGACATGGCTGATTGTGTGTCATCATACCCTGATGGTGTGGGTTGATGCTCATAATGTCAGTTACAGGATTGTCTGGTGAGGGACTTAGATATTTACAGGTTGCCGTTATATAGTTGGAATATTGCTGAGTGCAGCCTAAAACACCAAAGTTAAGAACACTCTCTCACTCATCCATCCATGGTTCCTGATTTCATTGCTACTCTCAATGTTGCAGTGACCCAAGCAAGAACCGTCTCCTGTCAGACGATGATGATTCCTGGGGAGAGAGCTGGGGATCCGAGTGGGACGAGAAGAAGAAAAAGAAACCAGGGCAAGCCGATTGGTCAGCAGGCGACGATGACGAACTTGAGGCGTGGCTAAACAACGATGAGACCCCATTGTCCTCCACCTCCTCTTCAAAACAGAAGTCTAAAAACGACAACTGGGACGACTGGGGCAACGACACAGGGGGGAATTCCACAGCTAAAAAGACAAAGGAAATTAAAAAAGCTTCCAAAAACAAAGAAGAAGGTTGGAAAGACGTAGACTGGGACAGTGGGTTTACATCCCCAGCCAAGCAGAAGGAGCCCTTGGTGGGCAATCTCCTGGACCTCGGGGAGGCCTCTGCTGGCAATGACAATGGGGGTTGGGACAATGACGTGTGGGCTAATGATGATGATGATGCGTGGCAGAGTTTAGAAGTGGACTCCAACAAGGGCAAGAAGGCCAGCTAGACTTGCCAAGGTTGTTGATATGCGATTCATGTATGTGAAAAATATCGTTCTTTGGCTCCTGCTGCGAGACCAGTTATCAAGGATTTAACTTAATCATCTGTTGTCGAGATGCACTGTGTCCCTATTTGGCAATGGGTACTCCAGGGTCGTCGGGCCAAGAACCTTGTGAACGATGTTGTTCGATGTTTACCCAAATCTTCCAGGATGTTATCTGTATGCTGTACAGTATTTGAAGACACTGTGTTGCTGTACTGTGATCAGTGTTAGCATGCCAAGCATTCAGTAGTTAATGGGACTCATTACCAAGCATCTCACAAACATCAGAGCTAGTCTGGTGTTGCCATGGTTGCACTATAGTAAACCTCAGTTGCCAAGGTTACACTTCAGTAAGCCCTTTGGTGTCCAAGGTAACTGGCTATTTAATTTCAGTCGGCTAACAACTGTAGTGATGGTAGGTCAAACCATACATTAGTGTAATCAAGTTCTCATAATACCATGGTTACAAGGTCAAAATTCACCTTAAGCACTGGTCAGATAAAGCTGCTTGCCAGTTCAAGAAAAGTTGACTTTCAACAAGACGTATTCTTCAGGAAAATGTACTGCGATTCCCTTTCCTTTGTTTACTTGGGAGGGGCCGCATTTTGTGTTGATTCCTCATACACTGTTATTGGTGTTTAGCACGAAACAAATGTTTCACAAGTTCATGATTCTCCTGTCATTTTAAAATGTTTTCTTTGAAATATATTAGGAGCATCACAGATGGATAGCATGGATTATCAAATCTGACTTTAAATAATTCAGATGTTGACATACATGTATATTATATGTATATTGAATCAACAAATGTATCCATGGTATGCAGTAGCAGTGGGGTAGCCTTGTGGTTAAAGTGTTCGCTCGTCATGCTGAAGACCCGGGATTAATTCCTCACATTGATGCAGTGTGTGAAGAACATTACTGGTGTCCCCCACTGTCATATTGCTGGCATATTGCTAAAAGCGGTGTAAACCCAACTCACTCCCTCACTCCATGGTATGCAAGCAGTTAATGTGAAAACTGAAGAACAAGTTACCTTTAAAGTCTAGTCAAAAAGCAAACACAGCTGACTGACAATTGCAAGGAAATCATCTTTGATAGACTATTTACTACCACATGTTCTGTCAGTGGTCAAAATTAAGTATGAAAGTGAAGAGTTTTTGTCATAACGCAAATGTTAAAACATTAAAAATGTAAGGAGTCCCTAGATTCCAATACTACAGGAGGAAATCACAGGGCATTGTGAACACTGTCTATGACTTTTAACTCGAATGTGTCGACTGCTGAGCAGTAAAAGTTTGTACATTAGAGGTATACATCGACTTATATACCACTCAACTTTTGATAGGGATAATCAGATGTAATTCTTGTTAGATATACACATGGCATATTATGAGAATCAGCCTTGTGTATCATGGAGAGGTAGATATCCCTATCAAAGGTGGAGCAGTATAGCTGGCACGCGAGTGAAGACCTTGCAACATATATCAAGTTATTCTAAATGATATCAAGTGATTATGAATGATATCTAGCCATTATGATTGATATCATGCGATTTAGAAGATGTCCTCTAATACTTTGATGTATCAATGAACTCTTTTAAAACTAAACCCTTGTAGCTTCCATATGAGAGATAATGAAATCTCGTTACCGTGGTAATGTCATGTGTTATCCCCCTATGGTGTTTGCATGCATTGATATGAGGATGTCTGCTGGTCTGCCGGAGAACTAGGCGAGGGCAAACTGGCACCATATCATTCCTTTGTCTGCAAATATAATGTTATGCATCCTAGTATACAATAACGATTAATATTTGCCATTAACTGCGTAAAACTATAAGTGCGATAATATTTTCATAAATATCTAGTGACATCATATAGTGAAAAATCATTTGGGCATTACTCACACTCATCTTCGTCATGAGCATTTAGCAGACACCCTTAAGCCAGTGGCCAACACAGCCAACATCGCCAGTACTTCAGGGTCTTGTAAACACTACTTTATTCCATCACTCGTGAATACGTATGGCAGCTATGTTGTGTTTTCACTATTTTTTACCATCGAATCAAGTAAAGGCCTGGTTCTGATGAGAAGGAAGCTTGCAAGTCCTACAACCACTGCTCTAAGAGCTTACAGTAGCAATGTTTGCTTGATATGGGTTCATCATGTGCCATGTAGCCTTATGGCTGCCTGCTCTACACACAGCTTTAACAGAGGTCAGTGGTAGAGGTTGTGCAAAGACTTGGGTTCATCATGTGCCATGTAGCCTTATGGCTGCCTGCTCTACACACAGCTTTAACAGAGGTCAGTGGTAGAGGTTGTGCAAAGACTTGGGTTCATCATGTGCCATGTAGCCTTATGGCTGCCTGCTCTACACACTGCTTTAACAGAGGTCAGTGGTAGCAGTTGTGCAAAGACTTGGGTTCATCATGTGCCATGTAGCCTTGTGGCTGCCTGCTCTACACACAGCTTTAACAGAGGTCAGTGGTAGCAGTTGTGCAAAGACTTGGGTTCATCATGTGCCATGTAGCCTTATGGCTGCCTGCTCTACACACAGCTTTAACAGAGGTCAGTGGTAGAGGTTGTGCAAAGACTTGGGTTCATCATGTGCCATGTAGCCTTGTGGCTGCCTGCTCTACACACTGCTTTAACAGAGGTCAGTGGTAGAGGTTGTGCAAAGACTTGGGTTCATCATGTGCCATGTAGCCTTATGGCTGCCTGCTCTACACACTGCTTTAACAGAGGTCAGTGGTAGAGGTTGTGCAAAGACTTGGGTTCATCATGTGCCATGTAGCCTTGTGGCTGCCTGCTCTACACACTGCTTTAACAGAGGTCAGTGGTAGAGGTTGTGCAAAGACTTGGGTTCATCATGTGCCATGTAGCCTTGTGGCTGCCGGGGAGCTTATTACGTTAAATACGGTATTAACTTACTAAAACTTGACAAACGTCACTTTTTCACCGCTTAGTGGCTGTAGGTATCTAGGGTGATGGAAGAATTAGTGCATACAAACTTGAGAATTATATTGACGTTGCACAGCCAAATCTAAAGTTTTGAAAAGCTTCTCATAGTTTCTTCATCCAACCTTGTGTGTTTCTGTTAGCAAATGTTCACATTATTGTATTGGTATAATAGTGAAATGATGGGCATGTTTGGTTGTTGGTTTGCCAAAATTAGTTACAGGTTTCACTAATTCAGATGTTAAAGAGATGTGATAGCTTTAATATAGCTTCGTAAAATATGTATTTGGGGACCAAAAATTACTCTTTTTTATCATTATTATCCTTAATGTTTCAAGATCAGAGTTGCAGTTATTTTATATTTTGAGTCCAAAATGTCCTATTTATGACTCTGCTCTGTGACAAAAATTTACATGATTAACACAAAAGATTCAGTCTCTACATTCACTATGTATCAACCTTATTTTTTTTCTCGCTTTGGTTTTGAAAAACATTTTTGGACAGATAAAATATATATTCACAGTGCAACTCTTTTCTTGACCATTATTAAGTTTAATCCCTACTTTCAAGCATTATTCTGTCTCCCAAATAGAAATTCTTTGCAGTTCATAAGAATTATCATGGCTTGTGTAAAGTTGTTTTTAAGAAACAATTTTGAAATGTATGCATATATTTTTACTATTGGTTTTACCAACAGTTCCTATAAATTTAATATTTTTTTAAAATTCAATATAATGGAATTGTGGAAATTTACTGTAATCTGTTTCTATGGAACTGTTGAAAATTGTTTTCAAAATGAAAGGTTGTGACAGCAATGTGTCAATTTCTTCCACCATGACACTCTACCTTGTCAGTATGGCTCTGCTGTAGACAGAACTCACTGTTTGTGCAGAAGTTGACAGCTTTTGCAAGTGTAAAGTTGATCATCATTACTATTTGTATTCATCACCATTATTCAATGCTAGGTTTACAGACATGGTTTAGACACAGAAGTCTGACAATAAGAAAGTAATGAAATAATTATAACAACTACATATTGCTATAAAATGGGTTACTGTTTTCATTTGTAAGATCCAGACTATGGCACTTTGAGGATGGGTGAAACTTTGTTTACTCGAATTCCCATCATTACAATCTTGTATTTACAAAAAATACTAAAAGTAAATCACCGTAACCAATTATTTTGGAGTAATAAATAAACAAAAAAAATCAAAAGCCATATAGTATAACAACATTGTGGGTAATTACCATTGTAGCCTTCTCAACTTGCGTACCCCTACATACCTCTGACTGAATGCAGGCATCACATCTACATGATGGATAATGGACGAATGTGCAACAATTTGCATGGTGTAACATAGACAAGTATTGCCACTGTCAGCCTATGAGACACACTAAGGGCAGTATACATGAACAAATGCAAATTAGAAGTCACTTGAAACAGCATATTTAATTTTTTAGAAAGGTATGCTTAATAACTTAATTATACCCAATAGACGCAAGGGAGAAATAATATATTGATTACTGAAAGAAAATGATCTATATGGGGAGTGAATGATGTGAACAAATAATACTCAATGGCTGGATAATGCCTGATGATGTTACTGCAAGGTTCCTGGAGAATGCTGTGGTCATTGTGTACTTTCCCCAGCACTCAGCTTGTTTTGAACTTCAGATGACTTGACATATTGGCTTCTCAGGGCTTCGAGTTAACAAGGTTTCTCAGTATTTCAACTCCACACTCAAAGAATTGTTCCTGTTTTAGGGGCCAACCATTTGATATTCTGGTTTGGGGGTTATCGAAAAAATAAATTTACCCCAAAATTCTTGAAAAATATGCTTATGCTTCAGACTGTTTCAAAAGTCAGAAATTGCCAGCCACAAAAATAACATTGTTGCAAGGTGTTTTTCTGAGGTTCTTTTATTGTAATTATACAATATCTTGTTTTGTTTCTGAAGCTGATAAAATGTCGAATTTCAATACAAAATGCCCACGAAATATCAAATGCTCTGTCCCTTGGTACGACTGCAGCAGTCAGGGGTATTGTGTGAAGTGAAGTATATGGAATTTGTGTAAAGTTGTCATTAATGCTGAATCTGTTTTGGTTATTTCTTTTACAATATTTTCATGAAGCATTTTTTCCCTAAATTATGTTACCTGTTACCTTGCATTCTAGTCATTCAAGTACAGATTTTGTGTCTCGGTTTGCCAGCATCATACCTGTTTGCATGGGTTTCCCCAAGTTGTAATTTTCTAGGACCTGCAACACTTTCAGCTGCCTCCCACTACAAGCTGTTCAAAGCACTGTTAAACCCAACTCATACGCTGACTCACTCTTGATCTGTGCATAGATTGTGATGGACAGAACAGTTCGATAGTGTGACTGTTCCATTCATGTTAGACGACAGGAGTTGTCTCCCTTTGACCAGGAGCTTCTTTCAATAGCCATATAAAGTTATCACTGACTCAAAAAAGTATTTTATTATATTTAAGGGACCACAAAATTTTCAAGCTAGCTAGTTAGTGAATTCATATTAACTTAGACAATTTATGGAAAATGTATCTTGTTTTCAAGTTGTTATTTATGTGAGTAATCTAGAACAGTGATTTGAATGCTGTTTCATGTTTGCTAAGTTATTTGTTATGTGCCACAATTGTATAAAGATTAGAATTCTAAGTAAATCAGCACTGCACATTGCAAAAGGATGAATTTTACATCTTGGTGTCATTCATCTAAGTTTCATTTAATATAGGTGGATCTGAGACATTAAGACACATTTTCTGTGATTAATTTATGAAAAGTTATGAAAAAATACAGCATTTTATGGACTGAATGGGTGAATTAGGGATGTCATGATATGCCTACCTCTCATTGCGATACATGTCGCAATACTTGAGTCACCATGGCATCGTCAGGCGTAAATTCAAGATGCAGTGATACATTGGTTAATCTTGACATCCTTTGTGTGAATGTAGACACAATTATGTTCAAAGATATATTGTTTACCCGGTAGATAAAATTCCAGAATTGCCTGTTATTCAAATATACTATATCATGTGATTAGTCTGTATGTTCATTTCTGAAATTGTGTATATATTTTGTGTTATCAGTGAGAGAATCATCCTATATTGATTGACAAAGATGGTAAGTGCTGCTTGTAACTGCTGAAATCTTATTGCTACTCAAACTTATCAAGATGACAAGTGTGTACCGGTAGCTAGTTTTATGGACAGGAAAAACAGAGAGAACAAGAAATGATCGTTAATTCTAATCCTTCCATATGCGGAAGCAATCTCATTAATTTTTTTACACTGATACGATACCTCACTGCATGAAAATCTGACAATCCCTTCATAAATCACCTGAGCTGAACCCTGAGCAAAGCCTGACTGCCTAATCTCATTGAAGGCATGGGTTGTTGAGCAAAAGGATGTCAGCTTTCTGAAAGATGTGGCTTCATTTCTTACAGTTGTGACAAATTTCAGTTGCGTAGAGCTGTTGATGTTTCTTTACCACCTTCATTAAGACATTTATATCTCAATAAAAGAAGACCCACACACGACACTAGTAATCTCTTGATAATACTTCATATTGAGTGTAGGTACCATAGTGCTTTGAAACAAGGGATGAAATATCAACAATATAATGAAGCTGCTTTTATTATTTTCTTTCAGAACTGACCATTTATGTTCATTTTCGAGATACAGAAATCAGATGTGCTGCTGTGAATGCATCACTTGCTCTTTCTGAGAATTCAGAAGTCTAAAGGCTGACTGGCTTATTTTGCTTTTTTGAAGTGTTTTTAGGCTTCAAATCAGAGTTAAAGAAAGATTTAATTTTGATTTATGTTCATCAATTCCTTTGTGGGTTTTTTTGTTTTGTTTTTATGATATACATGTTTGCACCAGTGTCAACTGGTAATGAATATGGCCAAATTTAGTGTTTTTTTAATTGATAAGCAGCAAAAAGTTATTTAGTTTTGACAAGTTCTTAAAGTACACTAGTTTACATCACAGGATGTCCTGAAAGGGCCAAATTTCTCTTACAACTAGTTAACCATACTTTCTTTGGACAAGTTGGGGCATTTAAATTAACTATAATAAAAAAGGTTTTAACTTTGACACAACTCATAGAAGAATGATGTTGGTAAGCGTGCAATTTGTGTTCTAATATGAGAATTCAATATTTAATGAGATAAATGTGTGCAATATTTCAACTCCCACTCTATTGATGCACCTTAGTCTTTGTGTAATTGAAAAAGACATGTTTACTCTAGAATTAGACTATTTTATGATTTAAAGTTTTGCCAGCATTTAAGTAGACCAAAATGGTATCTTTATATATATAAATTGTTTAATTTATTGTATAAATGGATAATATTTTGTCAGACTGTTGTTTATATAATAGTTCATTTATGATGGCAAGATTCTTTCTTTGTCAAGGGTCACTTGTCTATTTTACCTACCATAAATGTACATATATATAGGACAAGATGTGATATGCATTGTAAGATATCAAATATGATTGTAATATGAAGGTCACGTTATTATAGCAATGTTGCGTTTAATTTGTTCAGAGCGGAGAAAACATTGCTACAATGGCAAGTAGAAATGATTTGTTTCAATGCAGGTTTTGAGAAATGGAAGATCAGGATTCTGATGGCTTATCAAATATTCATCAAGATATTTCATGATCAGTTTTGGTTCAAGGTAAGAAACTACAGCCTACATGCAAGAATTTCCCAAATGCTTTTTAACATGTGCTTCATCACTAAGATAGTGAGACGATGTACTAGTATGTATAAGTATTTTCTCATTTGAAAAAGTTTTCAAATACATGTTTAATTTCAAAGATCATGTTTTCAATTTGGGCATATGCCTGAAATAGCATGCATCAAACACTGTGGGATATTTAACCCCCATATGTTTTATTAATGGATCCATATGTATCTAAATTCTTAACACTCATCAACATACCATATGTTTGCTTCAGAAAAACTGGAACTTTTGTGTTTTCTTGTATCTGGTTCACAAATGTTTTAAAGTCTTGCTGTCCATGCTCCATCCTTCATTATGTTGCCCTCATTATTTTTGAATCAGGAAGCTATGAACTGTCTTGCAGTGTGTGATAAGTTTTATGTTGATGACAAAGCTACCTTCCAAAGCCTGCACCAAAAACAGCCATTCCTTCTTGCCCAGAGTATCAGTGAGTATGTACTCAAGCTGTCTCTGTAACATGTCTGTACATACTTGAGTACAGGATATAGAAAGAGTAATGTCATCGTCTGTGTCGTCGCTCCAACCCTCGTCATCATGCACACAGCTGCCGTTGCTTGCCCGTTCCTCTTGTGGCAAGCCAGCAACAATAAACAAGGGTTTAGAATTTGAAATTGTGTTTGTCCTTTATGTACTGCAAAATTTATCCTTACTGATAATGGTAATAGAAGGCCACTTGTATCAGTGCAAGGCTCCACACTATGTACACTCAATGCACATGTAATTATCACCCCGATTACAGGATTAACCTGATTTCCAATTGCATTCTAAGCTGCATAAACAGAAAGATTTTGAAGTCACTTGAAGGAGAAGACATGGCCCCAAACGTGACTTTCAGTGTTTGGCATCACCAAATCACTTGCCCAGTGCCATCACCAGCCCAACCCTGAGTATTTTGGGTTAGGTCTTCAACAACTTATTCTTGATGACCTGGTTGATTTGTGGATCCTTGTACTCATCACCTGGATTAATACTTACGATACCATCACTAGATTGTCTGGTCTGGACTCAGTTATTTACAGGCCCCTGTTATATTGCAGTGTTAAACAAAAAACATCAAGTGATTTGTGGCCTGTGTACTATACTGGTCAGACAAAGACTTAATATCAGAATATGTGTTGGTGGGTACAATGTGTAACTCAGGTCTTTGGCACAGGAGTCAAGAAATTAACCAAGGGGCAACCCCACTGACCGGGTATGTTGTATCAACAAGAGAGTCCATTTCCTATGACTAATCTCATTGGAAAGAAAACGTGATCTCAAGAGTCTTGAGTATATAACACACACCCCTGGGGTACAGGTTTCAGGAACACGTGCGTGAGCATGTCAAATTTGAACATTCATTGACTGAGCCAAACATTTGGAGGAACGTCTTGTTGCACAGAGGCTTTAATGATTTGAAGAGTTGGTTTGAGGAACCATTTACTTTACAAAGTAGCTAAACATGGTTCTCTGTTGGATGCGATTTCATGTAAAGAAAAGAAAAAAACAACTAGATGTACTAAATATCTGAAGCTATTCACACTAATAAGGAATTGACTATGGCACTGGCCACATATCTCCTATGACAATATAGCGCTTAATGACTGGTATTTGTTTGCCACCGTAAGACTGCCCTCGGTCTCTCATCGCAGTCACGACCACCCGACTGGGCGTTTACGCGATCCGACTCAAAACACAGGGTACGTTAAGGCGAACGTTCCATACAGTGAAACCAAGAAATGTCTTCAGAGCAGAGCTTCTTGGTTGTCTCTATGTATATGTCAGTTTCAAAGACAAATGGTAATTAAATTTATGAAAAATACCTGCCATATTCAAGGATAAGGCAGCTCTGTAGGTAGTTAACAACTCATAATACAACTTGATACCAAACTTTTGCTGCCGTGATCCCGACTGATCTGGCAGGATGACTTGGTTGACTTGGATATCATTGTACGTTGCTCATAATGTCAATAACGAGTTTGTCTGGTCCAGACTTGATTATTTACAGACTGCTGTCATTGAGTGCAACACAACTGTGAAGTTCCTGAATTCCTGAAGTTCCTGACTTGTGCCCCGTTCAAACCCACACTCTCAGAGTGAGGCACCTAATCGCCAGCACACTAAGTCAGCCATCTAACCCAATCAGCCACCAATGCTTCCACAAAAAGGAATTACATGTACAACAACTGGTAGTATAAATCATGTAGATTGATTGGTTGGTTGGTTTGTTGTTTAACGCCGCACTCAGCAATATTCCAGCTATATGAATGCGGTCTGTAAATAATCGAGTCTGGACCACACAATCCAGTGATTGATATCATGAACATCGATCCACACAATTCGGATTGATGACATGCATCAACCAAGTCAGCAAGCCTGACCAACCGATCCCATGAGTCGCCTTTTACGACGAGTATGTACATCTCTCATAAGTGCAGTTGAAGTTATGAGGTGTTTTGATGCCATCAAAATAATACATTTGTGTATTCTGTAACTGTGATAAATCAAAATATTGTTTTAACATCATGAAGTGTAGCTTTAAAGGATAATGTGTAAGCTTTTATAATTGAAGACCATTTGGTGACCGCATGTTGTTTGATGAAGTCACGCAAGTAGGTGTGGTTGTAAAGAAAACTAAAACCGACAAGAAAACGTGTAAGTTAATGAAGACGCAAGGTAACCCAAAATGGAGATGGGACTTAAAATATAACTCAGCTGGAATTCTTGATAGACAAAACCATTTTGCGCATCTGTTCTAGTTAGTGTGTTAGATACTTCAGTGGAAAGTACCTTCAAAGAATATATTTTGGTTTTGCTCCATATCCATCGCGAAACAAAATAAACGGTTGTCTACATTATTTGCCAATTTTATAAACTGCACCATGTTCAGCCCTTTCATGTGTAAAACAAAAATATTTGGTTGCAATTAACTTGTGATGTCGCCCTTATGAATGAAGCTACATAAGTTACAAATGCACCAAAACAAGAGTAGGTTTGTCAAAAAAGACGTTCAACAAAGGTTCCACAAACTGCTTGTGTTTTTGTGAATTGTGAACATTCTAACAATGAAGCATCCATAAAATGTAATTTTTACGCCCATGTGAACATCCCAAACTGATCATCTTTCGTGTATCCTTTAAAAAGAATAATTTTTTAGACAAAACCGATATAATGTCCCAATGATTAGTTTTCAATGCTACCCGGTTTACGAAGACAGAGTTAACATGGATTTCAACTTCTTTATTCTGTCAATTGAAGCAATTCATAAATCAAGTCTTTCTTCGTTTATAAGACGGCTTCCAAAATGCCACTTGATGGTATTGTACGCCGTTCTTCATATACGTATGTCGTCACCAGTATTATTGATATTAAATAAAGGCAACTCGTCGATGTTTGTTTCTCCCAGAATTCCATCTTCCAGAGGCAAGGGAGTTAACTAACTGTAAAAGTCTAGTTTCCACTGGACTTTTAAAGTCAGTTAGCTCCCTTGCCCCTGGAAGATGCCAGAATTCATGTTTCTATGTTCGCTGCAGTCACAGGTATCAACATCATTTGGAAAATAAAAAAAGTTGAAATCCATAAGTCAACTGGTCTTCATTGACGCAACAGCTTCTAAAATGCATTAAAGATGATGTATTGAAACTGGGCCAACCCAACGGCATGTTGCAAACGTCTTTGGTGTCAGCTGATGTTTTGCTTTTGTTTGTTTGTTTGTTGTTTATCGCCGCACTCAGTAATATTCCAGCCATATGACGGCGGTCTGTAAATAATCTAGTCTGGACCAGATAATCCCGTGATTGACATCATGTGCATCGACATACGCAATTGGGATACGATGACATGCATCAACCAAGTCAGCGAGCCTGACCTCCCGATCCCGTTAGTCGCTTCTTACGACGAACACAGTGTGTGGTCAGCAGGGCATAGAATCGATACCAGACGTTCGGATCAGCTAAGCAGCGACATGCAGGTGGTCGATTGCTTACACAGCGGGAAGACAGGTTCCCCTGATTGTAACAAGACGTCATCACTACATGACTGCCACCAAACGCAGGAATGACCTGCAGAACGCCAGTGGCATAAACGTTTCTACTCTCCGTGAGGCTGGTCTCCGGACACAGAGGACATGCATTCGCATTCCACTGGCCCGACAGCACAGGCAGGTAAATTTGGATTGGGTGGACAAGAAATTATCTTTTCGTAAGTTTTTGACGTTTCACTTTTGGTCAGATACTCTAATTTTGACGGGTGATCTGACTGATTATTGGTCACATATTTGTTGACTTTTGTTCTTTAAAAGTTCATGAAATATGTACATTTGACGTATTACCTTTGAAAGTTGTGATCCTTTGCAAACTTTGAGTAGTATATTTCAACTTTACCCTGCCATGTCATGCTGTTATCAGCAATCGCTAAAATGTACGTGCAAATATGTGAAAATTATTACACTCGACCGTTGTATAATATACTATAATGAAGTCAACCCAATCTTTATGAAACATAGACTCACATCGTACGTTGGACAATAAGTCGCAATGATGTGGTACTCCTCTTTATATGATGTTTTATGCCAAATTACTTACTGAGTTTATTCTAACTGTTTAAGTATATTCTTCCAGCTGACCCAGTACTGAGAGATACCCTTGCTGATAACGTGGATCTACAAACATTCAATACTGATATCTGAAGTGTTATACATAGACAAATACAAGTACATTCCAGTGTGTATTTGCCCGTTCCTGCCGCTTATGTTTTGTTCTGTTGACAGTTACTCTGCATGTCATTGAATGACTTTGTTTGTTTGTTGTTTAACGCCACACTCAGCAATATTGTGACGACTATATGAAAATAATCGAGTTAGGACGAGGCAATCCAGTTGTTGACATCATGGCAGCGATTTGCGCAATTGCGATCCCATGATATTCATCAACGAAGATAGAGAGACTGACCTCCCGTTCCCGATGGTCGCCTATCAATGTATGACCTAACATGAAGTAGTGAGTGAGTGAGTTGGGTTTTACGCCGCTTTTAACAGTATTCCAGTTATATCACGGCGTGTCTGCTTAATGTGGGAGGAAAGCCCGAAGTGATGCAGGTCTCAGACGTTTACCACTTCGGTGAAACCCATGAGCACGGGTATGGCGCTGACAAACCTAGAAACATAATCGGGGCGAACCGGGATTCGAACCAACAATCATAGGTTTCTGGCGTGGCCAAGGGACCCAACTCTGCACAGCGAATCGCGGCGCCTTAGACGACTTGGCCCCCCGTGCCCCCCGTGAAGTAGTGATAGGGTGAAACGTATGCAAGCGTACGGCCTTTCCTCCAAATAGTTCTAAAGTATCACACACTGGACTTGCACTAAATTGGTATATACTTGGTGAAAATACTACATAAATGTGGAAGAGTGACGGCCAGGGAAGACCACCTATCAGTTAGGACTAGGCACAAAGGGTGTCGTAGTAACTTGATTCCATGTGTCGGTGTTGGCAATAACAACGTTATTCAAATGTGGACTAATATGGAGCATCCTCCTACCGATTGGTATGTCAACTTGAATTGTTTATTATGTATGCTGTGGAAGCATATGCCAAAAATGGACCAAAAAAGAAGAGGAAACTGTTGAAACCTTAATTAGAAAAAAAGAAACCAGTGAGACTGTTCCATATTTAGATCTATGGATATAGAATTCAAAGTGACAAAACACTATGCACAAGACTGAATGACAAGAGGGATGACTTCAACTTTCTAATAGTCAATTTCCCCTTATGTCGAGCAATTTTCAGCACCTCCAACCTTTGGTGTTTACATTTTCAGAACTGTTGTGGTGCAATCCACCATGCTCTTTCTACGAAGATTTCAAAGAACGTTACACGACTCTTGCTCAGATGTTGTTAATCAAGGCTACTAAGACCTAAGTAAAGCTTTCAAAAAGTTTTATGGTAGACACGCGGAGGACATTTCCAAATTTGACGCACCGTGACAATAATGATGTCCGATGCAATACCCTATTTGGACTTGTGCCATATGTTTCCGTGATGTTTCAGGTGAACAATTGACTTGCCGTTGCATGTGTTTGTGACAAGTGCCACCCTTGGGGCAGGATACGCACACCTTTTCGCGAACACCTGGTATCAGCACTATTTGATAGTTATTCATAAATGAATGCTCATGACGTAGTCAGAATAGTACAATTGACTCTGCTTTTGTCAGAGATTTCTTATGAATATGGAAAGGGTTTTGTTACTTTTATTTATTCACACTGTTGACGAATGGTTCGTCACATACAAGTTTAAGCACTTTATAAAATAAATATTGGTCAGACAACTATGGGATATGTTAAAATAGCTGACAATTAGGCCTCATTCTTTTCTTATACTTGAAATTCTTGGCTTCTGACGTGATTACTTTTCGCGATAAAAGGCATCCCATTTTCTCACTTCTTTAGAGACTTTTTTTATTCCCATCGCAACATAAAGAAGAAGTCGGACAATTTGCAGCATTTATTAGGAAATGATTCCACAAGACAATAAAACAAATAAAGCTAGACATTGTTGCAACATTGTCTTACAGCATTGACAGGGGGGACTTCTGTTTGGTTTGAAGCACTGCTCGATACACAGTTAAGTTGGGAGAACAGCTTAGTCGAGTCTTTCTCGTGCTGCAAAAAAACACTGGTGTAAGAGGACAACCCTGTCACACACAACCAATCACAGCTACAACTACAACCTCGATTATCCAGTGTATTCTATTATGATAAATACCCTGGACCCATTTGCCACCAGAGCTTCGTTTCGGAAGTGATATCGTCACCCCCATCACTCATATCTCTAACAGGGCACAGCATATCTCTGGCCCAAGAGAGTAATTTCAAATGAATCGTGCCAAACAAATTTGACTCAAAAATGGTGGCGAAGGGTCCACCGTAATTATCACATTTACGAGAATGAAAATACAATACACTGGGTAATGGAGGGTGTTACATCAATGGAGCTTCTCTTTTTAAAATAGTCATGTTGTGAGTCAGCTTTCAAGGGTGTTAATGCAATTTAGTAATAGTTGAATGGTATACGTGAACCGAATGCCCTTGACATACCGCAGTGCCTATTCTTTTTCATCAATTGTAGATGTTGGTATGACACGAGATATGCCACGAGTGTTTTGCATTGTACAGAAACTGAAATTCTGACAAAAATAAATATGTATAAAACTAATTCCAACAATCTTTACTGAAATATTCTGTTGTGTTGCAAAGTAAGAAAGTACAAATGCTATTAATTTAATGTACCTTAAAATATATTGTTCACAATATATACATATTAGCATAATGTTGAAAATGAATGTTAAACGAAGAATGATGTCAAATGGAAATAGTATAAAAGACAAAAAAAATACCTGGCTACTTGCAAACCTATAAGAAAACAGTATGCCAAATAACAAGTTTAAGCACAGACTTAACTTAAAACGCACTCAAATATCTATTTTCAAAATTAATGTCCATGCTACAAACATAGAGAAGAAGAAAACAGAGACTTGTAAGAAAGTTTACACGTCCTGGATATTTGATACCAAATAGTATTAAATGTTATATATTAGCCTATTTGTTACATTGTACTAAAAACAATTTTCGGCTTTGTTTTGATCAAGAGAAAAACTTAACACACAGTATGTAAGTAGGTCATTGCAATTTTCATTGAAATCCACAACAGGGTTTCTCTTTAAGATAGGTGGGGCGGTCGGGGAGCCTAGTGGTTAAAGCGTTCGCTCATCACGCCGAAGACCCGGGTTCGATTCCCGACATGGGTACAATGTGTGAAGCCCATTTCTGGTGTCCCCCGCTGTGATATTGCTGGAATATTGCTAAAAGCGGCGTAAAACCATACTCACTCACTCACTCACTCACTCACTTTAAGATAGGTAGTTGAACAGAAAACCAGAACCTAACAGAAGCGGAAACATATGAAAATAGAATAATTCTTCAATACAAAGTCTTCACTCAAATGTTGAAACATTCACAATAAAATGTTTAGAAAAATACAGAAATTTCGATACGTCACGTCATAAGATAACCATAAAAACAGCTCTTATAACTTTTTACACATCTAAAGTATTTATTTGTGTTCGCATGTACCATTTTGTAATTACATACAGACTATTCCACATATCGAATTCATTTGAAGTCATTTGTTTTCATCTAAATAGTTATTTTCCTTGCAATTACACTAATTCCGAAAACAAGGAACGTGACATGTCATAATTTCTATAAGAAAGTAGTAAAAAAAATTCTGTTACCATGAACGATGAGAAAAACTGTTTCAGATCATGATATGACCTTTTTAAGATTGAGGTAGTTTACTCTAAACTCGGCTTTGATCTATTCTTATATACAATCCTAAATGCTCTTTTGCTCATCTAATGAGTATAAAATGTTGATTTTGCTACACGTTTGCAGTATTTTCTATGCCTTTTGTCATGTGGTGCTACTGCTCCTATCACACATGGTAACAGAAATAGGTTTCAGCAATAACTTACCTCTCGGGTGACGGTGAGTGAATGGCACCTGAAGAATGTCAGAGTATATTGACAACGACGACATATGTAAAAAGAGTAGAATTAAGAACGATAAGGTTACATTGGCTGAAAGCACTTATATATATTTTTACAGACTTAAAGCACTACATTTGAAATGTAGTAAACATGTACAAAGACAAAAAATGTATGCATGTCACCACAGATAAGTGTTTTGAGACAATATAGTACTCCAAGCCCTTGCCACTCATTTGAGAGCTCCCAAAAGGCGATGATCATGTTTTGTTTACATCATATCCATTGCGAAGCATAATATCAAATGGTGTAAATTCAACATAGGAGAAGACAAACATCCACCTCACAAAAGTTTTTATTTACATATGCGTGTGTCATTCTTTCAAGGCAAAATGAAAAAAATACATTTTTCACTACAGAACAACACAGCTTAATCATTTCTGAAAGGGGCGGCATTACAATCATACTCTTCATTTGTTTCAATTACTTTACCATAAGTTGTACCCCAATCAAATATCTAAATAATATGATATGAAATACTGTATCTTACCCGTAAGGGGAACGAAACTGGATTTATATCATATGTTCAGTAATGAAAAATGCCACTAGTGGCACCAGATTAATCTAATAAAACCCTTACTAGTCATCATACTTAACAACAATACCACTTAAGTAGTGAAAACTGTCACACTATCAGAACAGTTCACATTTGGGGCCTCGTTTGTTTCATATGCTAGCGTTGATGAAATATCAGTTTCTGTTTATGCCCGAGGTTAAAGATCTTTCCCTTTCTAATTACAAATTGAGAGAAGATCATAAATACTGCTAACGTACATTTATCAGATATAATTTTATTGTGAAAAAGAAATATTATATGACAAAAAGGTAAATATTTAGGAAGAAACATATTTGTAAGTACCGGGCTATCAAAATATGTTACATATGATAAAATGTACATACTTATAAGTATACAATGTTCTTCAATCAAACGTAACTTTTGTAAACAAATCACATAACAAACAAACATTTTAACATGAAACATTAATATACCATATCACAGCAATTGACATTATTGTACACGAAAGAACAGCTACTGTCATGTACCATTGTATATGTATATATTTAACATTTGTACATAACCGTCTTCATAATCAAAGATGTTGTAGTGCTACGCAACCGAACGTGACCATTGGTACAATATATGTAACATATGTACATGGCGGTCTTTATAATAACAGAAAGTCCTAAACCGTATCTTGAAAAATATTAATATCTTTTCAAAATGTTTTTCAGCTTCTTAGAAAGGCACTGGTATTAGTACCCAAATGTCTGTTGTTGTTGTTTTTTAAATCTATACTTTCTGGGGTTTCAAATATGTACCCTGACAAACAAATTTCGATAGCATGTCATAACGGTTTATAATGTATGTCAAAAGATAAATAACTTCCTTGTTTTTAATTATCACAGGTGTCCAAATATTTGTACCTAATGTCCAAACTCCAAAATGTGTTTTGTTAATTAGGCATTGATACGACACCACACAAGTATTATATTGTATTTTATGTTGTTTCGATGTGTATAATGTTATATTCTGTTCAATATTCCGAGAACAAGAAGATTCAAACAGGTTGCAAATGTATGATGTGCATACTAATAATCTTTATATAAACGGTTATACTGGAGCTGAAATTTCTGAACGAAGAATCTTTCGAGGTTCAAACGTCTGTTGTGTGAAGCTTCAACTTGGCTGCAGCATTTGAATCTAATAGCAGGTGCAAAATGTTCACAGTGTCAATAAAATAACTCAACTGACTATATAGTCCAAGCAAATAAATAATGAGTTGTGCCCAGAATACACAAGCTCTAATGTAACAAATCATTCAAACTTAAAAGCTGTATCTAATGAAATTAAAACATTCTCTCATACGGAAGTAACGTTAACACCATAGGATGTTTTGTTGTAAGTCAACAGAACGAAGAGTCCGACTGACGATCTGAAGATTGTTTACACATTTTGGACCTTTCCAAAATGAACATGAGTTTGAATATTTGGTTTTCTGATACTGGATATTCTAACGCTTGATGTGAGGACACTTGATTGTCTCAAGTTCATGTTTCTGCTTGCTATGGCTCCGGAATGCCCATTCCTTGCATCTGAGGTGGTTTTTAACGCCCAGCCTGAAATAGCGATGTTACTTGTTAAGTAGCCCGTTAGTACACAGCGCGTACACAATTAAAGAACAGCCAGCAGAGCGCCTTGCAGCATCCCCCATGGTTGGAGGTTCTATGAAGTCTACGCCGAGCAGATTGTGCAAAGTGTAACAGGAGTGTTCACAAATTGTGCGTTAATCAGCAGCAGCGCTACATCAAAGCATTGTGCGCTAGAAGGGTGTGATGGTCTGATTGCCTTTCAGTACATAGTTTTTGACGAAGACTTCATTAGTGTTACGCGCAGGTGCTTCACGTTCGTTAGCCAAAAGTGCATATCCACGATGATGTAGGTGTTCCACGTGCGTGTTGGACAGATGTGTGAAGCTCAGGTTATCCAAGTCGCAATATCTTTATGTTATCATTAACAACACGCTAACTTCAAATACAGTGTATTTTGCCATTAATCATGAAAATCATACCCCATGCAAATATGGACATTGTAAACATAACTACAACCAATGGAAAGACAATGCATTAAACTACGCTAAACAAATAGTGTTCACAGTGGCTAAAAATTAAAAAAAATTCAAAAGGCATGCTTCGTTCTTGGAGGTTAGTCTGAGGATAATTAAGTTATTTCTTTTCACGGATCAGGAAAGGTACTCAACATACGGACAAGTTGTTTAACGTCATGCTACTCAACGACACTAGCACTTATGAGGCTTAATTGAATCGAATTTACCTTAATAGTGAAAGCAGTGTATGGAACCTCAACTACTATTATCATCACCGCGACACATTTACATGCCTGAAAGAAAGAATTGCATACAGAGAATCTGTATTGGAAGTCTGGATTACTTTCTGAGGGAACAAGACTAAATGCGGGACATATAAGAGACATATTATCAAAGAAGTATCACAATGAAGTACTACAAGAATAATTGATAGGACTAACTACATTTAAAGTAATATGGACACTTACTGAACTTGTTGGGTCATTTATCATTATGATAGTAAGCCAACTGTGCGAGGACAACCGAAAGTGACCACAACAATTATTGTTCTTGCTTACCGAATTCTACTGAACAGGCTAAGTGATGAATGTCTTGTTGATTGCAGGAAGTTTAAGGTATGCTTGGAAAATCGTTTTGGCGTTTACTTCACGGCAATGACACTCTTGTTATTGGCTGGATTGAAGAAAATAGTTTGCTTTGATAACGAAAAAAACAATATAATCTTTTAATACATTTCATTTTAGATTTTCTAATTTACGTTTGATGCAAATCATTTTTGCATAATTTTTTAGATTGGTATGTCTAATAAAGCAAGTGCTTTCACACACTTTTGTTAAAAGAAAAAAAAAGAAAAAAGGTCATAAATGGTCCATCGTAATTTCTGATGCATGAATATATCCATCTGAAGAATGATCAAATATTAGTGTTTTATACAATTCAAAGCGTATTCCATGAGAAACGATATATATCCTGCTTTTTAATGTATTTTTTAATGCACATATTGTACATTATACTTAGAGGAAGAAACATTACTTTATTCACTGCTTCAACACTAGTATATATCTTTTATATGTACCCCAACTTCCAATACAGACACAGCAGATTAACATAAGGCAGAGGTGAAAGCGAAATAAAATATATTCATAGTGCAAGTCAGTGATGAAAACATGACTAAATGGTGCAAGACATAGACAGTAAGTAAGGTGATATGAGTTTGGTCGAAAGATTTCGTGTGATCTTTGATATAGAATTACTATGGACAGTATACGAAACTATACATCACTTCATCAGATTATGTAGCTTAAAGTAGCACTATATAGCTAGGTAGGCATATATAGCACATTTGCTCATACAAAAACGCACAGTGATATCTTGAACTCAGCATGCCTTTTGAACAATGAACCGATGAAAGGCAAACGACAAAGTCATTACTTGTTTTTGAACATATTTCAGGTCAAAGACATCGAGCTTTAACAACCAAACAGTTTTTCCCAACGAGGCAGCCCGACAAGGGTATACCAATTTTAGGTTTATCTGCAAGGAATATAATAAAACATTATCTGTTAGAGTAATCTATGGTTAATCATGTTTTTGTCAAGGGAAAGATGTGTCCAGTGACCATAAAAAACGTCGCTATTCTTAATGGCATTAGAAACAGCTAAAACACATATGTTTTGAAAATATAGACATGCAATATCTTCCACTTCTACTTCAAAACAAGAAATGTATTCATTGTTGCCTCTGTTAAAGAAAAAAATTAATTCGGACATGTTTTACACTTTTAGTCTTTTAACTTTATGTTTGTACATGTACATATACAACGACCACCTTTCCATTCAAAACTCGTTTCGCTTGTCTGTGGCCACTCACCGATGACAAAATGATATTGGTGCTTCCAAACTATCCATCTTTAATCGTGTAACCAATGTTTTTGTAAACATCCCAAAAGCAATTTAAGCAGTTCTACGTTTGCATCTGATCTCAAAGGGATATTTGCTGAGCCTATGTCGCACATAATTAAATGGGACTAAGCTGTTAAGGCGCCTATGCGATCATTGTGCATTGGTGCTATTAAACCACACTTTGCAATGGATATTTTCTGGGCTTAGAATCCTGTCACATCTTGAGGGAGAGGCGGAAGATGAAAATGCATGGTTTAAGATTGGGCTTACGTTTGTGAATGCTGTGAATGTGAGGACAACATCTTCTTTGTGAATAGAAATTTCGAAAAGAAGTTACATTACATTTTCTAAACAAATTTCATTTATATCGAACCTTTGTTAAAGCAGCAAGATTGGGCTCAAGCTTGTGAGGACAACATCTTCTTTATGAATAGAAATTTCGAGTAAGAAGTAACACCATAAACTTTATAATTCATATTGAATCATTGTAATAACGGCAAGATTGGGCTGACGTTTGTGAATGCTTGTGAGGACAAAATCTTCTTTATGAATAGAAATTTCGAGAAAGAAGTTACATCATGTTTGAAAAACGATGTACATTCATATCGAATCATTGTAATAGCGGCATGATTGGACATTATCTTCTTTATGAATAGCATATAGAAATTTCGAGAAAAAGTTACACCATGTTTGATAATCTTTATACATTCATATCGAATGATTGTAACAGCGGCAAGATTGGGCTTAAACTTATGAATGCTTGTGAGGATAACATCTTTATGAATAGCATATTGAAATTTCGAGAAAGAAGTTACATCATGTTTGCTGAACATATACATGTACATTCACATCGAACCTTTGTAATACGTTTGATAGTTAAAAGTGTTGAATTGTCAAACATTTATCAGTTAAGATACATATTTCACCTTACACTTTCAGATATGTTTATATGCGTTATGTATTAAAGTGGTTTACATAGCTGATTTATCCATTACATATAATAATAACGTTTTATATGAGGTAAGTTAGATAAGTCAAGTTTGTTACTGTCGATATCAACGACGTTATTGCGTCAAAACCACCAGATCTAAAGTCGCTAAGTAATCCTTATAAATTTATATATGTGTTGGTATGATGTGAGTGATTATAGTGTCTTCCTCACGCATAAATTGTGCATAGTGTACACAAATTCGACACTTGTGTAATTGGGTGATAGGTCGAAGTTTGAAAGAACAATCGCAGTTTATCTGAAACCTTCATGTCGTTTTATATGATATGTTTTAAAGCTGGAATGCCATAGGTCAAATTGTTTGATGCTATTAAAAGCATAGGCCTCACTCCTACCGTCATGTGCAGAGTAGTTTGTGTGGCCGTGACCTTGACCTTCCCTACAGCAAACCCGACATGCAACCTTGAACTCTCGGCGGAAGTTACCTGAAAAGAAGAAACCAACATATTACGAACACATTTACGGAATACCGACAACAAAATATGCAAAACTCAGTGAGGTGTCCTTAGTTCTAGTCAAGCGGGGCGCAGGTAGGAGATCATAGAACTCACAAGGTTGTTGCCAGGACCATAAAGTTGCTTCATCAAGGTTAGAACATTCAATGCCTCTGCAAAGCTTTCAAACAGTTTTATGGTAAACAGTGAAAATTTTCGGTGAAAAGAATTATGTCTGATGCAATTCCCTATTTTGCCTTGTCCCATATGTTTCCGTGTTTCTTCAGGTGAACAATTGACTTGCCTTTGCATGTGTTTGTGATGGGTGCTTATGATAAAGTCGGAATCGTACAATAGTATGCTGTTAGATTACTTCTGCTTATTGAAATGGTTATGTCGCTTTTTATTTAACTACATATTACGATAATATACATGGTAAACCAGGTCTCAATGCACAAAGTACACAACATCTCGATATTTAAATAGTTCAATTAAAGTAATAAGAAAGCATGTAATACACACACCATCACATGAAAATTGCATCTCAAATGTCACATTTTGTGTGCAAAACATGTGACCTTTAGGCTATTCGATGCAAATTGATTAGAAGGAAAGCTAATTGATTATGCTGTACTCGATGCCAACGGATAGAAAGTGGTCACTGCAACTTGTCCCTTAGGCATGTATAGAACATGTGTTTGTCCAAGCAACTTGTCATTAATAGACACCATCAATCAGGGAGCCACCAGCGTGATCCGTTTCAAAGCAGCTGTTTCTGCGCAGGCACCACAGAAGTGTGCAACCAGTCATTTGGCATCACTCAGCTATATCGGAGACTGACACCAAGTCTTCAAATGTCGAGTCCCATGAGTAAGTTTTCTCGTCTGTACAAAATGTCATCACTATGTGTTAACAATTATGCAAGTAACCTTTCAAAAGTTGGCTTGGGGGATGTTTAATTCATTAAAGTCTGGGAATTGAGCAAAGGACAATGTTAGATTTGACACTTTGATATGTGCTTTTACATAAATACATAAACTGGTCGGTCGCTGTGGGACTGCATGAAGTGAGACAATGTTTTTCATCTTCCAATGACAAGGCAATCGGGTTCGTGATTGTTGTACAGACAAAGAATGATTCTTTAGGGATATATAGGCATCACCACGAATGTACCAAAATTGAAGTTTATGCGAGTAACGTTAAAGAAACTTGAAATTCGTGAACATTTTTTTTGTGAGACAAGAACTGTGCATGGAAAAATTGTTGTTGGAACGTGAACCATTATGTTGGGACAGTTCACCGTGTAGTCATCTGTTAAAACAACTGAAACCGTTCAAGCAAATGAGAGCAAATAGCGTCATGTTGTCCACGAACGTGAGTTGTTAAGAAAGGGCAGCCCTTTGTTTAAAAAAACAGTTTTACATTATCTGTAAAAGCTACTTGATTAATACAAGCAAAGGCACCAGCCAAATCCCCATTTTGTTCTGAGACGTGAAGCATTTTCTTTTATTTGAGGGTGAAGCATTATGTCTACAACCCATTGTGTAGCAATCTGTTAAAGTGATTGAAACTTACAAGCAGGATTATAGCAAGAGCCAATAAGACGGTTCCAATTTGACTGTATTAAGTGCATAGTGTGTTGCTGAAAGGATGACAGTCGAAACAGTATGTCATGACAGCCTCTTAAACTGAACTCAAAACCACAAACTGAGTTGACATTCGATTGAAGTTCTTCAAGAAAGGTGTCTACGTCTTAAAATGACTGATCGAAAGAGGGTAAACCAAGAGACAAATCTAGGAAATTCATTTCGAAAAAAAGTCTGATATTATCTTATTTAAGTCTGTAGGCTGTATATGTACGTGACATATGTGACTGTGGAGAAACAGTCCAGGAAGCCATTCAACAGGAACAGGGACCCATTAAAGCAATTAAACAGGAACAGGAGCCTATTAAGGCTATTAAACAGGAACATTGACCTATCAAAGCCATTAAACAGGAACAGGGACCAATTAAAGCCATTAAACAGGAACAGGAGCCCATTAAGGCTATTAAACAGGAACATGGACCTGTCAAAGCCATTAAACAGGAACAGGGACCCATTAATGCCATTAAACAGGAACAGGGGCCCATTAAGGCTATTAAACAGGAACATGGACCTGTCAAAGCCATTAAACAGGAACAGGGACCCATTAAAGCCATTAAACAGGAACAGGGGCCCATTAAGGCTATTAAACAGGAACATGGACCTGTCAAAGCCATTAAACAGGAACAGGGACCCATTAAGCCCATTAAACAGGAACAGGGGCCCATTAAGACCATTAAACAGGAACAGGGACCCATTAAAGCCATTAAACGGGAACAGGGACCCATTAAAGCCATTAAACAGGAACAGGGACCCATTAAAGCCATTAAACAGGAACAGGAGCCCATTAAGGCCATTAAACAGTAACAGGAGCCCATTAAGGCCATTAAACGGGTTCAGATGTAGCCCAAACACAAAGCATTTGAAACCAGACCCCACAAGCTAAAGAGCGAAGAAAATGGGATTACGAAAGGCTACATAGTTAGATATGAAGACAATTTAGAGGCAAATAAGAATGAACACAAGCAAATTTGTGTAAGTTTCGAGAAAAGGAAATACCTGGTGATACACTTGCGCGAGTCACCTGGCAGTATCAGATGATGACTGTGCACAGTGGGTGAAGGTAAGCGGACCTAATCTCAGTGCAAAGTAAAATTAGCAGGTACATATAAACAAGCCCACACTTAACCTTGGCTAATGAGGCAGAACTCATTCTAAAGTAACTGCTGATGTACCGGGTTTTGCACTCACAGCTCATGAAGTTGTATATGACGGGGTTTATGGCGCTGTTGAAGTAGCAGAGGAAGTGAGCAATCATCAGGACAGGCTTGGCTACTTCTTGAGCAATCCTCACATCAGAGCACCTGTAATGCAAGGAATTCAAAACTTAAACGCCAGAGAATAACCAGTCTCGAATTATCTGCCGGAGCAAATTGCATAGGGGATAGAAGGCAAATAATCATGAAAATTATATGAATAAATTACTCAAACTAGCTGCTTATGTCCCATTAAGAATAAAAGCATATGTTAATAAGAACAGCATATCATCGGCAGTAATGATCTGCAACTTGCAGCGCATATTTATGTCCCTCAACTACATGTTTCGTATGGTTGTAGATTCGAATCTAGATTCCCAACGAGTACGATCTTTGTTCAGTCAGCACCATACCCGCCGTGATGGGTTTGACGTAAGAAGGGACAGACACAATATGTTTCCTATTCCAGCAAAACCAAAATAATGCTGGACGGAAGGTGGGTGTTTGGATCCCCTGCCGCGTTATACCAAACTGCATAAAAGATGGTACTTGCTGATCGCCTGTCTGGCGTTCGTCATTAAAGGGATAAAGCAAGGACTGGTCTGCTTGGAGCCAGTATACTGTGTCTGAGTAGGATATCCAGTTAAACTACGGCATGGAATCTCAGTGGACTGGCAATTAGTGGGCCGGAATTAATCCGGACAAGTTGAAGCAGCCACATACAGCCACACACAGCCACACACAGCCACACACAGCCACACACACGCACGCACGCACGCACGCACGCACACACACACACACACACACACACACACACAATAATCTTGAACGGGTCATAAACCCAATTTTACCTCGCCACATCATCCTAGAGTAGGAGCTTATTTTCGTTAACTGACAGGCTATTGATATAAAATTAGAAGAATACACGGATGGCGATGACATGCAATTCCATAAAGAGAAGAAAAAATGGTTTAAGGTCTGGGCATCTTAATTAGGATTGACCGAAAACACCACCCATTTTCCTTCCACTGCAAGCCAACATGCCTTGTCATATAACAGAAATTCTGTTCAGATCAGCCCCTCTCTCTCAGGTAAAAAGCATCGATATATATTTTAAATACAATTACGGTTATACAATTTGATATGTGTTTAATGTGTACTATTTTAAAATATGTGTTTTAAATGCACTTTTCTTCTCTTTGTTTCAACAGTTATCCTTTTACAGTAAGTGTGATTACGACTCAAAATGTCATTTAGGTGTATGGAGTTAGTCGGTTATACTGAAGACAACGCCATGGGACCCGTGTTACACATGTGAACTTTAAAACTAATGGCAAATCGTATCTATATGTGTAACAACACTCCACCAAATGGATGCGTCAACAAGCAGGACAGACAGTACGTGCAAATGAAGCGGAGGCAGGGGGTGTTCGCGCGGAATAATTAGCGTAGAGCGTGGGGTCCTTGTTGTGTCCCGCACAATAACCGTGGAATGTTTGCGGAGAAAGTGATCTGAAATGTGCAATGAAACAAAGTGTGGCAAGCTTATAGAAAGGGGGTTACTGCAGATCATCTGTGAGATGTGTTAAGGAACATTTATTACAATGTACTACGCCGGTAACATATTACCGGACAGTGATGTGTCTAGGTTGTATTGCATTTTAAATATCGCATCTCACACTGGTCACACTCACACCCACAACCAAATTCACACCGACACCCACACCCACACCCACACCCACACCAACACAAACACCAAAGCCCACACCCACACCCACACCCACACCCACACCAACACCCACACCCACACCAGTCCTTAACACCACTGTACTTCAGACATGCATGTGTAACATCAAGATGTCATTACGGGGCTCGTACAGCGGTAAGCGTATTAATAAAACAACGTGTTGTTACCTTAACAAGAAGAGGATATACACGGGCAAGAAGCAGATGGCAAAGATGAGGACAACAACGATAAGCATCTTGGCCTTCTTTTGTCGGATCAGAAGTTGAGCTCGGGGTACGCTAGCAGCCGCAACTGGAAGAGAGAGAAATCACATATCAAATGCGAATGAGTGAGTTTGGTAAAATTACTTTGATAAGTATTGATGTGGGAGGAAAGCCCGAAGTGATGATAACCCTTGAATAATAGTGAGTGAGTGAGTGAGTATGGTTTTACGCCGCTTTTAGCAATATTCCAGCAATATCACGGCGGGGGACACCAGAAATGGGCTTCACATATTTTACCCATGTCGGGAATCGAACCCGGGTCTTCGGCGTGACGAGCTCACGCTTTAACTACTAGGCTACCCGACCGCCCCCTTGAATAATTATCAGGGTAAATCTGGATTTCGAACACACGATCATTTGTTTCGGTCACGCCTAAGGGTACAGGAGTGGGTGAGTGGGTGAGTATGGTTTTACGCCGCTTTTAGAAATATTCCAGCAATATCACGGCGGGGGACACCATAAATTGGCTTCACAGATTGTACCCATGTCGGGAATCGAACCCGGGTCTTCGGCGTGACGAGCTCACGCTTTAACCACTAGGCTACCTGATCGCCCCAAGGGCACAGGAGATTACGACGCCTAATACGACTGGGCAACTCGACCACACACAGGTGAGCTACGTTATCTTTTCTCAAACTGATAGTAACGTGGGCATTTCAAGGCCATCTTCCCGAGGCAAGGGAGTGCAGTTTCCACCCTTGCCGAACTGGGCTGGAAGTATGGAGTTATATTTCGACTGTACTAACGAGTTTCTGTATAGTCCTATCAACGTAGCGTAACGGAATCGACATCCGGTTCATAATCAACATAGCGACTGCGGTGCAGATTTCGGTCGATGCAGGATAGGAAAGCACGTGTACCGTCCACAGATATTTTGTTTTATTTTTTCTTGTATTTAATCAAGTGATATGACGCGCTTCGAGAAGTAAGTCCCGATTTAGATCCCAATAAAGATCTTGATTTTCGATCAGATCGCCTTTACCATGTGCTGCGATTTTGTTTGAAGCAAATGCAAGTGATATGTGAGGTGGGTCTGATCAATAGGAGGGACATAGAAGGGACATAACTCGAAATAGTTACTGCTGACTACGACCAAGCAACGAAATTCCAGCTTAGTTCGGCAAGGGTGGAACCTGGACTCTGGAAGATGTTTCAAGACGTCAAGACAGGTTAGGTATTCATCCATTGTTAACAGGAACATGAGCGAGTCAGTCAATGTTGTGTAACGCCGCAGTGAGCAATATTCGTCGGCCTTTCGATGTAAGTTAACGGTCATTTCCTTTTTATTAAATGATATATTTAATTAAGATAATTAAATCTAAAAGGTTTCCTGGATACTTCATGTTCATTTATAAGCTCATGTTGTCCAGCCCACGCAATAGGCATCTGACAACCTAATCACCTATATGCGTCATTCTCTCCATGCAGTGACTCGAGTTACTTTTTATCTAAGATACATTGTATGTAGTCTACATTCATTGCTGTGAACTTAAAAAAAACAATACCATAAAATGCAAGCCAAGCAAATTTAGTTCTTCTTTGTTAAATCATGCCTTGGGTTGAATAGAAACTTAAACACGACTTTAATTAAGTTTAAGCATGGCATCGAAGAAAATGCGTAATGAACTCTTGATACGTGATACGTGCAAAAACGAAAAACAATTAAAACTGCGCGCAATATATATCTTTAAATCCAAACAGTTTGAACTCAACATACCTGTCAACATAGGAAAAATCACAATATATACTCTGAATTCAAATACACATAAAAAACTAACTCTAAATGGCTTTTGCCTACACGTTTTGTCGATGCTAAATGTTTTAGGCACATGTGAAATTTTGAGATGAAAGTGCAATTACCAACAGAGTCATGTATTTGCTTTAGTGAAATGGCATGGCTGATATTAGAATCTGTTGAATATTTATTTACTTCTTCACGCAGATACGCAATAATGTTTATACAAGTTTTTGTATATTAATTTTGAGCACGAGGTCTTTATGGTATTGTTGACCTACGTGACTGAAATCATCCCAGTTAAAGGATCGATGACGTTTATCAATAGCAATCAACATGTCAGAAAATGGACATGCGTAATAAGTTGCAGGGAACCAGGATGCGTGTTTGCTTTTGACGACTAAGAGTCAACAGTGACGGACAGCTTGACGGATGGTCGCGTGATTGATGAAATCAGACAAGGGTTATCCCATTTCGCCCCGATTGACATATCTTTCCAAATGAAGTGTTGTGTTATCGTACGTTTCTGATTACACGCCATAATCAATTTGTACAATGCATGGCAGTGTATATCAATATTATATTATATTTAATTACATACAAAATTAATTACCTTGTCGTTACCGTATGAAGTCTGCACGTATTAAAATGTGTTTTACAGCCTGGGATGAATCACACTTAAGGAACTATATCAAAAGCACCGAAACCTCGTTAGTGCGGACCCATTTATTCAGGAAACCCCTCGCTCCGTGAATCGTGACATATCAACAAAGAAGAGTGCTGTCCAGATTAACCGCACTCAGCAAGTATGTTGTTTAACGCCACACCTAGCTGTATTCCAGCTATAAGATGGCGGCCCGTAAATAACAGCGTCTGGACCAAACAATCCATTGATTGGCATTGTGAGCAACTATTCATATCGCTGTGGTACGATGAAACTCCTTCCAACAAGCCCGACAACCATCCATTATGTCGCAACTTACGACCAGCATTGGTTGCTAGGACCAATGCTAACCCGGAATCACCACGGGTCCCTAACCACTAGCAATGGGATGCTGGAAACACAATCTGCTCCTGGGTCCCCATGGGAAGAAAATGGTCATGCCTGGTGTTAAAACTGAATGAACGGTGAACTGAATCTGTACAGATGAGAAAAAGGGAACTTTATAACGAGTATACCGTCGTACAATGCGATATCAGTGCTAAGGTGATCGTAAGTCCGCTACCTTGACATAGACTTTTGACAGTCGTAAACGCTATGGTTTTTTTTGTACAACTCGCACCCTTGCGAACAAGATGAATAACGTGATTAAGTAATATCCACGCATAAAGAGTGTTTACATTTAGTTTGCCTTACAATACACACTGAATATGTCGAATACAGCGGGCTATGTTTTATCCGACATTCTGTCTGAACCGACACCCTTCCTTGTCACGGGGGGGGGGGGGGGGGGGGGGGCGGTCGGGTAGCCTAGTGGTTAAAGTGTTCGCTCGTCACGCCGAAGACCCGGCCGTGATATTGCTGGCATATTGCTAAAAGCGGCGTAAAACAATATTCACTCACTCACTCCTTGTCACGGTAGACAGATTGTCGGATTTTTACAACGTCGTCTTTGACAGCAACGACTTCATGATATAACATCAACAGTTTTTACAACGTCACATGCCCCGTTACACAGATAAACAAGTACTACTTATAACCATTTGAGCAACAAATCAAATGGTGATACATTGGACCGCCGTTGTTTCGACCTCGATAGGTTCTGGTGAAATGATCGACTTATCCAACTGTTCGACACATCCAAAAACGGTGGACATTGTATTTGTATTTTGACATCGATGGTGAGGCATGGTATGTTTCTGTTCAACTTGTAGGATAATTATGTACTAGTATTTGCCATCTGGGACTACGAAGTAAGTTCGAGGCAACCGACAAACCCGACTGATCCTAATCGGCGTATCAAAGGTATATTTTTATAGAAGGAATTGAACACAATGCGTCCTGATTATGTTTCAAGGTTTGTCACCACAATACCCAATCTCGTGGCTTTTACCAAAGTGGTAAATGTCTAAGACCCGCATCCCTTCCGTCTCCCCTTCTACCTGGAGCTATTACTTCGTGATATTAATACAATATTGTGAAAAAGGTGTAGCTGAACCCAATTAACTCACTCACTGACTACCTCTTTTCCGAGTCCGTTTGAGCAGTATACCAAGGCGTGTCGGTTTAACGTGGAACGAAAGTCAAAAGGGAAGCAGGCCAATCGTAAGCGCTCTTTTCCAAACGGATCTCTCTGTACATTGTGTGCTTTAGTTTAGATGAATGGGGATTAATCTGTATTCAGTTTCAATGTTTTAAATGGTCAGTCATAGCTAGCAGAGGGTCCAAAGGTATCCCACTTTGACCCCTATCAGCATTTATGGGACATTTTCCTGTCAGTGTCACTGTGATTTTCGTCAATCGATCAGACCATGCTAATATCTTTTGTTTGCAAAGTCATACCAATGGGGTATTATGTAGCGATTTATTCATATAATTCATAAAGCTATCTGTCATAGTATGAAAAAAATGATGAAAGAATAACAAATTATATAAGCGTTGCACAAGGTTTTGCTTCGGTGCATTGATTTTCTGATCAAAAGATAACTTTATTAAGCTGCATAAAAAACATACATTTCCTGATATGGCTTTTACAAATGTATTGATCCAAAGCAAACAAAGGGAAAATCAGTATTCATAATAATATTCAGTCATCGATATGTCATCAATTAATTGAGTACTACATTTATAAAGAGATACATATCATGTTTTTCCATCCTTAACAAAACATATTATGCTGTCTTTGTTATGCTACCTTCTTTTCCTTGTCTAAAGTTAATGAATGTCATTAAACAATAACAGATAAATATTTGCAATGGAACCCAGAATGGTATTAAAGGCAATTCTGACAGCACCTTTTTGGTTTAATATTAAGCAGATTCGTCCTAATCAGAAAAGTGTTTTTTTTTATTTTCTGAAGGAACATATGTGTTAATTTGTTAACCAACTAGACGTGGAACGTCTTTTACATTTAAAATTGCATCATATTTATACAAAGAACTTGAAAACACAAGAAAAGCAACACTGGGAAGAGGAGTGATACCGAGGGGGTGACAGGGAGGGGGTCAAGATATGCGAAATTGAGGAGCAGTGGCATGTAAACAGAAACGAAAGTTGACATTGAGAAAGATAGCAGAAATTTCAACAAATTAGAGCATTGCAGATGTGGCTAGTCCCTGAACTTAAGGTTTGT